GATACTGCATATTTCTTCAGAAGAACGGACAAGACTGGTCTATCATGTCTGTAAAACAAGGAGTTGAAGCTGAAGGAATAATCGCGGGTCCCTTTCCTTGAAGCAAGGATTCTTCCTTTGGCTTCAAGTTCCAATGCTCCCTGCTCCCAACAGTCTCCATACATGTGCCTCCAAATTTCCACATTGAAATCCTAACCCATAGGCCCTTCCCAGCGGTTAACAGGGCCTTCACTGGACGTGAGATGTGGGCACGTTAAAAAGAAATCATTAGGACGGGCTCTAACTTAACACACCTAGTGTTTAAACAAGCAGCCACACGCTTCGGAGGATGCTGCATGGAAACGAAGGCAGGTGTCAGAGAGATGTGGATATATGCAGAGCACTGCCGAGGACTGCCTGTAACTGGAAGGCAGCAGAGACGTATGGAACGCAGTCCCCTGCACAGCCCTCAGAAGGAGCCAACCGCCTGACATCTTGATCTCAGACTTGTCACCTCCAGACTGTGAGAGAATGGATTTATGCTTGCCTCCTTTGGGGACACTTGCATCCCATACCTGGATTTTGAATCCCAGCTCTGCTTCCAATTCCAGTTTCCTGACAACATATACTGGGAAACAGCAGGTGATGCTTCAAGGTCCCTTGGGTCGCTGCCATCCACACGGATCCCAAGCTTTTGGCTTTGACCTGGCCTAGCCCTGGCTGTTGTGGTATTTGGGGAGTAAGCCAATGGATGGGAGATTTCCCTCCCTCTCTCGCTGCCCCCACCAAAATGATCAATAAATAAATTGCAGAAAAGAGTTCTATTTGTAGGCATCTCCGCTTAGCCACTTTGTGCTGGCAACCCTAGGAAATTAACATACACAGTAATCTAAATGAAATCAGTGTCTTCCTCTGACCAAGAGGAAGAAGCACAGGTAAGTAGCTTGAATCCCCACTGCCAAGTCCAGGGACATGACAGCACAAGGAGAAGCTCCCCTTGTGAAACAGGCAGCTACCTTCTAGAAGCTTCCAAAGAGGGTTGTTTCCAGTCCTTCATGAACTCCTCCTACTGTTCCAGCTTAGGACAAGTTTGAGAAAAGCCCGACTAACCCTACTAGCTGCACAGAAGGTGCTGACAGATCATTGCCGAGGAGTGTGTAAGTTTAAGGGTGAAGAGAGGCAGAGCATCCAAATCCTCACTCACTCCTGAGCTTAATTCAGGTTTCACGTAATCCTACAGACACTGGGAGGCACCTTCCACTGTCGTTTTCTTCCTTGGTCTTCCCTGTCCCTGTCTGGTCCCAACAACATAGAGGGCATGAAGAAGAGCCAGGAAGGGGAATGCAGACAGAGACAGCAGGCCTGTGGATCACTTGGCTGCGTGCGCAAACCTGACTGTTCCTCTGGAGAGGCCCACTGCACCTGCTGCTGTGTGACCAATTTCAGAGCCCTAGTCCCTTGCCTTTAAACAAACCTATACGTCCGGGTGACTTGAAGAATGATTTGCTTTCCATTGGGGTTCCACAAATAAAGCATTACTTCTCAACCACACTCCCAGTAGTCCTAAGGTCTACCTCTGAGCTTGGGGCAGGGACAGCTTCATTTCATTAATCACTCGGTGCCCCATGTTGAGAAGTGATGCATCAGAAGGCACGATCCCCTGGCTCACCAACAGGGTGTCCTGCCAGGGCTCTGAATGACAAACTTGGAGAAGCACATGCTTCATGTCTAGTGTTTAGAATGCTGGCCTCAAAGAGAGGATGTCTTAAACCAGATTTCAAATAAATAAAGTAGAGCCACATGGATAGGGCATCATTCTTGGGGAAATTAAATGTTTGGCAAATGAAGGAGCTAGAGGTTAGGTTGAGGGCTTCTCAGTGTTCAGACTGGACTCAGACAGAAGGCAGATCAAGTCTGCAAGGGGAGCTCTGGATGGCCTCAGGCTATCTGTATCTCCACTAATGGGAGGTCACCGGAAATGCAAGGTGGTGCTCGTGTAGGCTGAGAAATGACACTCAGAACGGTTGGCTCTGATCCTTTTGAGAATTGCATCAATAATTCGGGCATGTGCTCTCACTAGTGCACTGGCATTCCATGCCCATTCATAACCAAATTAAAAAGAATAATGTAGAACACTTTTTAATAGAAGCCCCACTATTTCCATCTCAGTTGCTCCGGGATAGTCTTATCCACCTCTTGTTCCGAGTCTGAACACATAAGGAGCAGAAGCAATGCACATCCTGCTGACCCCGCTCAAGTCTCCCAGGTACACAGTCCACACTTCGTCCAATGGTAGCTGATTGAAATAGTCATCGCCAGTGAGAAAATCAACATGACATGTTGACTGAGACTCTTGTAGCCTCCATGAACAAATGCTTTTTGGAATAGCAATCACTTTTGCTTTTGCATGTAGAAATTGTCTGTGATGACGAGTATTTCTGCAGAAACTGACAACATTTTGCTTGGTGTTTCTGTCTCACACTCCTTGTCCCCCTTTCGGGATTACTCTTGGAGGGCTGTGCACACTTCTTTTTCTGATGCTACTAAAAACGTCTTGCTCAAATTGTGTTTTTCTATCTCTTTTACTCCATGAGGTCTGTGGACTTGTCTGCACTTTTTCAAAGAGCTAAAGATTTCTAGTACACTACAGCTGTCACACAGAGCTATAGAACACTGCAGTCTTATAGCTTCAGAAATGCAAACTCCTCCACAAATTTCTCCATCCTTGGAGCCACTGTTGCTGGTCATAAGGCATGTCTAGCGATCAGTTAACCTAGCCTAATCCCTTCACTTTATGATGTTCAGGCACAGCAAGTGCCATAAGCACATACAACATACCAGGGCTAGAGCTGGAGTCGGAGATGCTGCCTCCTGAGTAGCTGTGTCTCTACCATAATCTCCTTCTGCCTCTCTGAGCTCCCTTTTCATCCTGCTGTAACTCCGGAATGTAAGAGTGGATGAAGCACAGAGCTGGGATCCCCTCAATGGAACATCCTTGCAATCCTGGGGGCTGACCCAATGGCTGTGCTAACTCAAAGATGACCTGAAGATACTGACTTGGCAAAAAAAAAAAAGCCCTCATTTGCTAAACTTTGCAAGACCCTACAAAACATGGCTGGCATCCCCTGCTTTAGACACAGTCCTTGTGGAGTTGCCAGGAGCTTTATCCCAAGGAAAGAAGCTCCCTAGTCAGAAGTCAATAAAGATGGCATGGAATCAGGGCAAGGAGAGAGCTCTCAACTCAGTGGCTTAAATGTGCCCAGTGCTGCCTTCGCTGTTCTCTTCCTAGTTGCTATAATGAAATGCAGCTGGGAATGACACATACTGTGGGAAGCCTTCAACGCACGCAGTCATAAGCACCTGGGCAAGACAGAGTCAGAACGCAGAGACGTTCTGGTGCATGGATGGTCAAACAACGGCTCTTTTCCACCGGGTTTTACTGCAGTTGATCATGGTGGAGGTGTGTAGGCACGGGCTGAGGCATGCAAGGTGGGAGCAGGGCTGGTTCTGTGCAGTAGAGGCTTTAGGAATAATGATGCCCGTCTCCAGCTTGTCAGTCATTGCCACGTGGCCTCAGGGTGAAGAAACAAGTGGCCGGCCTTGCATCCTTTGCTTTGTATCTTTCTCCCTTTCCACCCAAAATGCTGCTGGCAGAAACCAAATGTGCTGGCATGTTGTGCATAGCCACAGGGATGCCTTTCATTTGCCCCTCACATACGTCGGGCTCTGTCTGCTCTGTAGCAAAGGTAGGGAAATGGGAAGTGAGGGGAAAGAGTCACAGTAGAAGGCACCCATGTTTTGGAGGTGGGCTGAGGGGGCTAGGGTCAAAAGGATCTGCTACTTCTCTTTTTTTCATCACCTCCAGAGTATAATATTACTGACATCATATGTAAACTTGACAATGCAGGGGCAGGAAGCCGCCTAGGCTGGTAACTCCTCACCCTAGAGAGGAAGCGTTGGTATATGCAGCTTGCGGGAGGAGACCTGGGTGATAAGCCAAGATCCTTGCCCTCTAGTGCTTTAATGCCTATGCTATGCTAAAAGGCATTTAAAGCTTGCTAGGCTAAGAGAGACAAAAAGAAGAGAAGACCAATGGATAGGCATTGCTGCCAAAGATGGGTCAGACTCTAGAGAGTTCTGAGTACCCAGCATTGAGGCAATAGGAGAGATCTGGAAAACCAGATCTGTGCAATTGCATGAAATGAATGCATATGTGTATTGCAGGTGGCTAGACATTCTCATTCTGGGACTCTGCAAACTACAGGGTACGAGGCCAAACCGTCCAGCAGGGAAGATCACTTCACAGAATCACAGCAACATCATCTGGGGAAAGTCAAGTGAGCCTGGCAATAGAAACGCCCTTCCGTAGTCAAGTGAATCAGCTAGGAGGGAAGATAGCCGCCTGCCATTGGATGACACCCATGCCTACCCAACCCACTTTCTTCATTTGTCCAATGGGGAGAGGATGACTACTTGGTAGAGCTGTAGGAAGGAATAAGCAATAACAACGGATCAGAGACTAGGGTTGAGGCATATCAGGTAGAACCATCTGTTACATTGGCATTGCAAATAGGCACCGAGTGTGAAAGCTACACCAATGTCAGGGACACATGTACACCAAGGGTGATTACCCGAGAAGAGTCTGAGTAGTAATGAGATATCATTACCAAGAGTTTAACAGTACGATGGAGAATGCAGTTATTGGATTGTTTCTTCCTCAGTCTAACCACAGCTTACATGGTTAAAGACCTCAACATGGCCTGATCTTCTAGAATGAAGGTAGCTCTTGTTTCTGGAAACCTGCCCCTTGGTTTCTGCCTGAAGCCCAAAGCACATGAAATGTCCAACATTTGGATGAATGAAAAAGAACTACAGGTTTCAATGTGGAGACAAAATGGAATGACACCCTCCGCTTGGGGCCAGGAACACCAAGGGCTGAGCCGGGACGGAGACGGAATTCTGTTCAGACCTGTAGAGTCAGGCTCTAGCAGTGAGGTGGGCAGAAGGCACTGCCAACTTACCTGGTGAGCTTGGTGCCGATCTGTTGCCTTAGCTCCAGCCTCTCCTCATCGGTCTGTCGGGGAAGGATGTTCTTTTCTTCTAGCTCTCGCTTGGAGGGCCTGTTGCTGAGTTTGATGGCTAAAGAGTCCTTCCTGCAGACCTTCATGGCCAGAGAGCCTGCAGGAAGCAGAAGTGAATCAATGAATGCTGACACATATCTGCGTATGCTCCCAAAAGGCCAACCTTGGGCCATCAGGTATAAGGCAGGAAGAAAGACACAAAGGACTTAACATCTGAGAGTGATTAAAGTCTCCATTCTCAGAACTCCTGCCATCGGCCTGGTCTCTACACCTAGCACTGTGTGGGACCTGTGGGCAGCCATAGGAAGCCTGTGACTGGCTCTCTGCTCTCTGAGACTCCCCGTATGCATGCAACATCACAAAGGAGGGCAGGACCGGCTGCAGAGGACAAGAGGGGAAGAGGACACAGGCCTCCTCTTAGCCTGGAGAAGCCCTGCAGAAGTTGAAGGACAGATGGAACTTCCAGCAGGCAGCAGGTGGAGTGGGCTCTGCACCTGCAGACACTAAGTGGAAGGGGAGCGGTATTTCCAAAGATGGAGATAAAAGCTCTGCCAGAGCTGGGGCATAGGAGGAATGTGAAGCAGAGTAGACAGAGGGACTCGGCAGAGGTGGCTGTGAAGGCAATAGGCAATAGGCTGGGATTGCTTCTTCTTTTTAACATGAGTTCCAGGATACTCAGAGGCCACTGCCGTTGTGACAGCTAGGATAGCAGAGCAGCACTGAGCATAGAAGTCAAGACATCTGTTCATATGCCATGTTTCACTCTGGAGTAGCTCCATACAGGGTCCTGTTTTGGTTCTGGACTCCAGCTTCCCACCCTGGGTGGCAGGGGTGTGGGGATGCTGGGGGCACAGACAACAGTGATGGCTCAAGGAACTGGGGTTCCTGTCACCAATGTAGGAGACCTGGGTTGAGTTGCCAGCTCCTGGCTTTGGCCCCAGCCCAGCCCCAGTCACTTGGGGAGTGAACCAGACAAGGGAAGCTCTGCCTGTCTGTAGGTTCCAGAGAGTAGCTAGCTACATGTATCTGGTAAGTAGAGGCCAGGCATGCTTTTGAGCATGCAGCAATGTACAGGGCAGTCCCACAAAGGATGACATGGTCCAAACTGCTGTGACTGCTGCGACTGAGAAACCTGGTATAAAGCATTCAGCTCTGTGACATCAAAGGGCTCAGAGAAGGCAACAGCTGCTGCTTCTGCTCTGTGTGGTTCTTCCTCAACCAAACTCTGATCCCTGCCTGGCTCACCAGAGCTCTTAGCAGCTCTCACCTTTAGCTGGCTATCTACTAACTAGACAGCAAGCAGCAGGTACCAGCGAGCAGCTGCTGTGGGCTTCCTCTAACTTTTATCGAGTAGAACTTTCCTCTCCTCCTCCCCTGGTTCTGGGGTAAGAGCTTTGAATCGCTTATAGCTGGAAGCAAGCGGCAGCACTGCTCCTTAGCAGAAGGGCAGCTCTGTGTGCCAGTTGCCTCCATTTCTGATCTGTGCTACAGGCTCGCTGTAAGATGCAGATAGCAGAGTCTAGCCATGCTGTCAGGCCCACTGAGGACCATCATTTATGCCTAATTTCCTTAGCTACCACTGAAAAAGCTGACCAAGTATTACTCGTATCACTAAAATCTATTCATAGCAAGCATGGTAGCTTTTGTCTCTCCTCTCTGTATATCCGCCTTTCCAATGAAAAAATAATAAAAATAAATCTTTAAAAATTAAAAAAACCCATTTATTTACTTAGTGAAAAGTCAGATATACAGAGAGGAGGAGAGACAGAGAGGAAGATCTTCTGTCCGATGATTCACTCCCTAAGTGAGCACAATGGCCGATGCTATGCCAATCCAAAGCCAGGAGTCAGGAACTTCTTCCGGGTCTCCCACACGGGTTCAGGTTCCCAAAGCTTTGGGCCGTCCTCAACTGCTTTCCTGGGCCACAAGCAGGGAGCTGGATGGGAAGTGGAGCTGCCGGGATTAGAACCAGTGCCCATATGGGACCCCAGCACGTTCAAGGCAAGGACCTTAGCTGCTAGACCACGCCGCTGGGACCAAGCACGGTAGCTTTAAAAAATATTTCTTTATTTGTATTGCAAAGGCAGAGTTACAGAGAAAAGGAGAGCGAGAGAGAGAAAGAGCTAGAGAGAGAGAGAGAGATCTTCCATCTACTGGTTCACTCCCCAAATGGCTACAACAGCAAGAACTGATCTGATCTGAAGATAGGAGCCAGGAGCTTCTTCTAGGTCTCCACATGGGTAAAGGGTCTTAACCACTCAGACTTTTCACTGATTTCCCAGGCCATAAACAAGGAGCTGACTGGGAAGTGGAGCAGCCAGCCAGGACATGAACTGGTGCCCATATAGGCCAGTGCTTGAAAAAAACAGGATTGCCCTGTTGAGCCAAGGCACCTAGACCAGCATGACAGATTTTAAACTTTGCTTTCTTTATCTCTTCTCTTGGCTATTAGCATATTTAAAGGTCTTAAATAAGAAATCTATATCCACTCCATCTATAGGTATGCTTACAAATGAATTTGTTCCATATATGATGGTTAGTATTTACTTAAAAATAAAATAATTATTCACTTGAGAAGGAACAGAGAGACAGAGAGCACTCGAATCTGCTGGCTTACTCCCAGCGTGCCTTCAGTGGAGGTGTCTGGGTCACACTGAACCAGGAGCCAGGAACTCAATCCAGGTATTACACATGGATGGCAGGGTCCAAGGACCTAAGCCAGCACCTGTTTCCTCTAAGGATACACACTAGAAGAAAGCTAGAGAGCCTGGCGCAGTAGCCTAGCAGCTAAAGTCCTCGCCTTGCATGTGCAGGGATCCCACATGGGCACCGGTACTAACCTTGGCAGTCCCGCTTCCCATCCAGCTTCCTGCTTGTAGCCTTGGAAAGCAGTCGAGGACGGCCCAAAGCCCTGGGACTCTGCACCCAAGTGCGAGACTTGGAAGAGGCTCCTGGCTTCAGATCAGCTCAGTTCTGACCAATGCAGCTTCTTGGGGAGTAAATCAGTGGACGGAAGCTCTTTCTTTCTGTCTCTCCTCCTCCTCTCTGTATCTCTGACTTTCCACTAGACACTAGGACACTAGAATCAGAAGTATAGCCAGGACTTGAACCCAGACCCTCCAATGTGGGATATAGAGATCTTAACCAATGTGTTAACTGCCAGGCCACATGCCTGCCCCAGTGGTTAGCGTTTCTGGACTTTCTTTTTTTCTAAGTGAGGACAGATTTCTAAGCACTCGTTCCTCTCCCAAAGGAAACAACAAAGGGAAAACCATGCCAAGAGATGGGAGGGGGCAGACAGCTGCTGCCAGCTGTAAAGCCAGGAGGGCATTTACAGACAGTTTGCCCTCTCGTTTTACTGACAAACAAATTGACCCTCTAGCAGGAAATACCAGACCCAGGACTGGAACCCATATGGTTGGGCAGCTGGGTGAGCCCTCTCCTCAACGCCATGTTGGCCTCTTTTTTTTGACAAGTTTGGGTTCACGTACTGGTATACAGTGAGCTGTCGTCATCTTCATCCTCCTCCTCTTCCTCATCTTCTCTTGTGTATAGGCAAGACGAGTCTTCGTAGTCTGACTCATGAGGCACATTTTCTTTATTGTCGTCACATTCAATCACAACAGTTGGCACTTGTCTTATCTCTGGAAGGCCCATGGGTCCTGCTTTCGTGACACCGTCAGCAGAGTGCAAACCAGAGCTATGGTAAGTCGTGGAACAGGGAACCCGCTGCTCGGAGCTGTTGACAGACAGGGAGGAAAAAGGAAATGTACTTGAAGGCGTTGGAACTCGTCTTAGATTTCATTTGTTCAGGCCTAAGAGACAAAGCTGCTCTTCTCACTTGACAGCCCATCATCTTAGCGCAGTGGCTTCCCGATGCTGGGACATCCTCCCAACTAAGAACTAAGAAATTCTAGCATCTGATGGAAGGGCTGTGGTGGTTATTACGTAACACTGCTGACTCGTACACATTACAGTGGTAAATTTCATGTCCTATGCATTCACCACAATTAAAAAATAAATAAAAATTAGGAACAAGAGAAACTAATTCCAGAAACATTTATGGCTCAGATCAGTATCTGCAAGGAGCCAAGGAAGGTTCATTTGCAACACCTGCCTCAGAGGGGAACTATATTCATGATTGGGCAGTAGCAAGTGATGCTCTAGTTTTCACAAGCCATCCAGGAGACAGGTGGAACCTGAGTGTGGAGGATATGGCTGGAGATGCTGAAGAGGACAGCAGGGAGTGTGAGGATGCAGATGCCCTGGACACACCAGGGTGACCAAGAGAAAGCTCTTGCCCACGGATAATGCCAGTTCTCAGCAAGGAGGCCCAGGTAATGTCTGGCTGGCTTTTCCTGGAAAGTTTGCTTTGCTTGTTAAAAAGATTTATTTATTTTATTAAAAAGATAAGAGATACAAGAAAGGAGAGACAGAAGACCTCCGTCCCCATGACCTCCGTCCCCATGACCTCCGTCCCCATGACCTCCGTCCCCATGACCTCCGTCCACATGACCTCCGTCCCCATGACCTCCGTCCCCATGACCTCCGTCCCCATGACCTCTGTCCCCATGACCTCCATCCACATGAACTCCATCCCCATGACCTCCGTCCTCATGACCTCCGTCCCCATGACCTCTGTCCCCATGACCTCCGTCCCCATGACCTCCGTCCCCATGACCTCCGTCCACATGACCTCCGTCCCCATGACCTCCGTCCACATGACCTCCATCCACATGACCTCCGTCCACATGACCTCCGTCCCCATGACCTCCGTCCACATGACCTCCGTCCCCATGACCTCCATCCACATGATCTCCGTCCCCATGACCTCTGTCCCCATGACCTCAATCCACATGAACTCCGTCCCCATGACCTCCGTCCCCATGACCTCTGTCCCCATGACCTCCATCCCCATGACCTCCATCCACATGACCTCTGTCCAGGACTTCCATATGGGGGCGGGGGCCCAGGCACTAGGGCTTTCTTCTGCTGCTTTCCCACGTGCATTGGCAGGCAACTGGGTGGGAAGAGGAACAGCTGGGAGTCTGATTGACACCACACGACATGCTGCTGTGGCAAGTGGTAGTATGACCTGTTGTGCTGCCATGTTGGCTCGCAAAATATATTTTTTAACTAAAAAAGAAAAGAAAAGAAAAGAAAAGAAAAGAAAAGAAAAGAAAGAAGAAAAGAGAAGAAAGAAAAGAAAAAAGAAAAGAAAAGAAAAGAAAAGAAAAGAAAAGAAAAGAAAAGAAAAGAAAAGAAAAGAAAAAAATGCCTGGCAGAGTGGCCTAGCAGCTAAAGTCCTAGCCTTGAATGCGACGGGATCCCTTATGGGTACCGGTTCTAATCACAGCAGCTCCACTTGCCATCCAGCTCCCTGCTTATAGCCTGGCAAGGTAGTCAAGGATGGGCCAAAGCTTTGGGTTCCCCCTGCACCCACGTGGGAGACCCAGAAGGGTTCCTGGCTCCTGGCTTTGGATTGGCTCAGCACTAGCCATTGCAGTCACTTGGGGAGTGAATCAATAGTCGTATGGAAGATCTTCCTCTCTGTCTCTTCTCTCTGTATGCCTGACTTTGTAATAAAAATAAATAAATCTTAAAAAAAAAAAAAAACCAGAAAAGAACAAAACAGCCATATATGTTCATCACTGGAAAGTTAGGAAATGTATATAATTAAAAATAAAAATAAGAAAAACTATTATTTTCTTAGTAGAGTCTATTTGATGGCCCTATTGAGATTTGAAATTCTTTTTTTGACAATCTGTAAATGGGGTCTAGCAAGAATAATGAGACTGCTGGAAGAAACTCAGGGTTAGGTTTATAATTCTTCTGATTAACTGGAAGTAGAATCCATATCCTTCATTTAAAAAATTTTTAAGCGCAGGAAATCCAACACATTTCATTACTGAAAAGTGATGGAAATGCCGTATGAGCTCCATCAGTGTTTTCCAGTTGAATATTTTCTCCAAAGGATATTAAACTGATGACATAAAATGCATGAGTCTCCTTTGAAGCTTCCAATTATGCTTGAAATTACAGCCATGTCTAATTTAAATTCAATGAACTTTCTTCATTCTGTTGTTTCCAAGACACTATTTTTCTCTTTGTATTCTTCATAAAACTTTTCAAGTGATATAAATGAAAACCCAGTTAACACATTCAGAGCTATAATATTCAAGGCAACAAATGAAACTAAATTAAAAAAAAATTCCAAACCTTCAACAGTTGGTTAGGATTTAATCACGTCTTTATAAGACTGTAGTGCCTGGTTAGACATTCACAGCCAGTTTCATATGAATGGCAGTGGGGCAGGAGAAGCAGGGTGATGTATTATAGACCTTCCAAAAGCATGTGAAGATGCATGGGATTTCACACATTTTCCACCAAGTTCACTGGCTTTTAATTCCGTTTTGCATGAGCTTTTTGCACTGACTTTTCTTGTGACGTTCTGAATGATGGCTTGTCTGCCACACCGTGCAGGTGGCCCTTCCACCAAGCCAGGACAGTTATCGTATTTTAGATACACTTGGATTTCACTTGGGACATTGAGGCAGCTAGGCCTAGAAGCAGCAAAAATACAAATGCATGGCTTGTGTTTCATCCTAGCCCCCTACCTTCTCTGTGCCCCACTATAGTGTACTCAGCAATAGTTTCTACACAGGCACAGAAGTGAGCATGCGACAGCTGGAGGCCAGACATGAAAAACAGATGAGAATTCTGGTGAGCACAGCTTTCGAGGTGGAAAGGTTGGAAACCAGAAAGCATGTGTTCTTTAAGACATAAGACTCCAGACTGACTTCAGAAGGTAGAAAAGGGAGAAATACTGGGTAGAGGAAGAGAGGAGACGCATATACTACTGGGATAAATGAGAGATGAGTTTTGCTCCTCTTTCAACAATACACAGGAAATGTGAGACCTTTTTAAGCACAGAACTGAATCTGGCACAAGGCTGTGCGCCCAACCTTGGGAACTAGGGACCAGTCCAGTCACGGGGACAGGAAACTGCCTGTCGGAGACACTAGAGACAGTACCAGAAGCCCAAATCCAGAATGTGCTGGAATGCCAGACTTTCCTAACTGCTAAAGTGTTTCAGGAAGCTGAAGGCACCAACCAAAAAAACTGTGAAATCACCTGTTGCTAACTAAGAGAGGTAAGCCCATCCTTTTGTGACTGGAGATTTCAAGAGGAGGCGAGGACAACAGAGGACAACAGAGGACAGGAGGCGGTGCAGCCGGAGGCTGGGGAGGTCACCATCACAGGGCCTGCACTCAAGAAGCTGTGACGCAGAGCTGGGCCAGGTTCTGTCCCTGGCTCCCTTTTTGACACAAGGAAAATGAGTCTTCGGCAAGAATAGGACTTGTTTTATTTAGGTCTGATCTGCCAAGCGGCTTCAAAGCCTGATTAGTGTCGTTCAGACCAGCATTCCAGCGCTCAGGTATGGTCACCTCACTGGCTAGAACTCTGAAGGCCTCCTCTGCTTAAAAAGCCAGTGGTAACTGAGTGACCCAGTGGGAAGTCCAGTTAGTGCATGATGAGCTTTACTGGCTGTTCTTTCCAAGGGAAAGAAATGAATTAGTGCATGGCCTTTGCCCTTGCTTCTGCCGGCGAGCAAGAAGGCAGTGCCTTGCAGAATAACTGTGTCCCATAGCATTTTCATATTTATTTTCATTTTATTAGAAAGGCAGAGGAGGGAGGGAGAGAGAGAGAGGGAGAAAGAGAGAGACTACGAATCCACTAACCCATTCACTAAATGCCCACACTAGTTGGGACTGAGATAGGCTGAAGCCAAGAGCCCAGAATTCAATCCAGATCTCTTACATGGGTAGCAAGGATCCATGGACTTGAACCATCACTTGCAGCCTCCTGGGTGTGCATTAATAGGAAACCAGAATAGAAAGTGTAACAGGGACTCAAATCAAAGCACTAGAATATAAAATGTGGGTGTTTAATCACTGTGCCAAATGCCCACAGTGGTAACAGGTGTCTTATATAACAGAGTTGCCACGTGGGAGAATTTTCTAAGTAAAAGTTCTCACTGTAAAAAAAAAAAAGTGTAAACTATCAACTTACAAGCATAGGAATTAAAAACCTTGCATGATGTTCTATACCCAACACAATGTAGCCTAAATTGTTAACCCAGCCTCATTCCTTCCTCCTCTGTCTTAAAATATCTTGCCCCTTGGTCACCTGTGACTACTCACTTTATGCCCTTGGCCTAGAACATCCTAGCTTCCCATCCTACCTTCACTTCATTTATTCCTACTTATCTCTTAAAGCCCGTTTCCAACAGCACCTCATCTGAATTCACAGGAGAGTCCTCGGTTGGAAAAACTTTGAACATCTGTTTGCTTAGCATGTTCCCTCTGTTACTGCAGGCTCCTTGCAGGCAGTGAGTATGTCTTATTGGTGCTTGTATGTAATACCAAGTATTGTGCCTGATACAAAGGGAATACCCATGGGTTGTTGGACAGAATGACTCCTATAGAGATGACATGTATGCACAGTTGACAAAGCCTACTTAAAGGTATTGATGGAAGGATTGTTTTCTAACCTTAGGGAGGTTACCAGTGCAAGTGTGGAGGCCCTGGACTTGGTTGGGAACTTCAGAAAGGGCATCCTCATCAAATATGGACAGGAATCAAGGAGAGTGAAAAATGCAGTGTTCCACTGAATGTGTTGCCCAGTGTAGTGATGTATATAGGATGCTTTTAACCTTTACACAGCACCCAAAAAGTC